GGCCCCGGCGGCCGTTACCAGAGAGGGGCTCCGGTGCGGGACGTCAGTCCTGAGGCGGGCTTCTGGCAGTTTGCACGGTGGTGCCTTGTATCACGATAGTTGCGTGTGGTATCGCTGGGATACGGCGTGAATCCCGCGTCGAGATGGTGTTTTGGCAACGTGAGGTTCAGGTGCCGTGTGGTGGTCTGTAACGTGACGGAGCGTGGAAGCAATGTGGCTTTCACCGCCTGGCTTGCCATTTCCTCATGGAAGGCCTTTGCGCCTTCCGCCGTACTGTAGGTTTTGGCCTAGGTTACCCAAAGCTCTGTTGCGTTGAAGTTGGAGTTGCATTACCTGACAATGCAGTGGCTTAGCAGAAAGCATTTGGGCTACTACGGGTGCATTGGCGGCACGTTTTATGTTTGGGAAGCAATGTGGCTTTCACCGCCTGGCTTGCCATTTCCTCATGGAAGGCCTTTGCGCCTTCCGCCGTACTGTAGGTTTTGGCCTAGGTTACCCAAAGCTCTGTTGCGTTGAAGTTGGAGTTGCATTACCTGACAATGCAGTGGCTTAGCAGAAAGCATTTGGGCTACTACGGGTGCATTGGCGGCACGTTTTATGTTTGTGTTACTTTTTAGTGCCACTAGCATCCTCAAATCGACCATAGCCCAGTGTAGGAATTCTGTCTTCATTTTAAGGTGTTTCTTCTAAGTTAGTTAGTCTATTCCGTACTTCAGATTCCATGGGGTATTTTCTCTGTTCCTTAACTAGGGAAAATAGATACTCACTTCTAGTTCACATTTTTGAGTTCTGCAAAAGGATTTACATAAATGCCCTCAAAGCTGAGCCACCACCTTCATTAAAATGAATCATATGTACAAGTCTCTATGAGTAAGATTTTGATGAAATGCGTGACCATGTGGTAATAACTCATTCTAGGTGACATATATATTTACTGAGTTCTAATCAATTGTATCAACATTTGAGAACAGTTTACTTAACATTGGAGAACTGCCTAAGATGCAAGAGCAAGTAGCGTTTGTTGGAGTTGTTCCCTAATCATTCTGGGTATAGTGGTTGCCTAAGTGGATAAAATGCATTCAGAAGGTTTGTTTTATTATTAAACTGATTGTTATTTAAAAAATAAAAAAGGCCACTCTCCTTTCTTTTCTATAAGAGATTTATTAAAGTTGATACTCAAAATGTGTGACTAGTACAAAGGTGTGTGATTGTATCTAGTTATTTCACATGCATTAAGTATTTACTGAATGCTATTAATTAATCTCAAGATATAGTCACCACTATTGCAAGTTCTTGGAGATTTAAATATATAAAACATGCGCTCTTCTCTTTCTTAGCCTGGTTGTTTTGAAAGAACTATCAGTATGGAAGGTAATGAGATTGGTTATAGTAAGGAAGAAGAGCAAAAATCTCCTCTACCATTTCTGGAAGAAGAAGAAGAAAAAGAAGACAAAGCTGGTCAGTTCTCTAATGTGGAAGAACAATGGGAAGGTGAAAATGATGAATTTTTTGATAACTCACAAAAAACTAACATTAATGTGTCTTCTAATTTAGTAGATGGGAACAGTGCACTTCTAGGGTTGAATGAGATTCCAGGTAAATGCAATGATTCCTAGTAGGTGTTCTCTAGCATTACACTACATGACTTTAATCCATATCTAACCCATTCTTTTTATACCAGTAAACTCTCTACTCTTTACTTCAGTAAGGCATTTTGATTTGGAGTTATTGATGGTAAAAATCTAATATTTGACTATATGGACTTGATTCAGTTGCTCATACATTGGCATCTAGTGCCATTTGAAGTGCTCTGGACTCTCTCATCTGGCTCCAGAATGGCATAGGTCTTCCACAGATTCAACTCTGTGAAGATACTGGATCCCCTAAGACATCTAAACTGGCATCAGATACCTCTTAATAGGCAGCCGATTTCTCTAATTGTGTCCAGAAGTGTCATTCAGAATAGCATGTGAGGCAACAGACCTACCATTTAGATTATCATGAGATTATCATGTATGGTGTAGCGCTGAACACTGAACTTTATATTAAAAAGAGTTCTTAGGCTATTCTTTTCTCATTGTAATTTTCTTGATCGCATAAATAATTTTAAAAAATTTCTGTCTTCACAGCACAGTAGGATAAGGTAGTGTAAGATAAACAGACTGTTGGCCAAAACCTCTGAGTACATTAGTCTCCCCCCTGCCCCCCTCCCCGGTTTTGTTTGGGTTTTTTTCCACCTACATTGGATTGTCAGTGACACTTCCATAATGAAGGCAGAGAGACTTTTCCTGTTTTGATTTGCAGGTGTGCAATAGTAGTCCTGTGTGTTTTGCCATTGGAATTCTTTTCATGTATGCTGCAGTAATGCTATAAAATGTCATCTCTGATTCTCTCTGTTTTGACTTGACAGCAAGTATGCTAGAGCTTTGCATTTTAAAGTACAAAGTCTCTTTATTAAACTGTTGGTTTAATATCTGTTAGAATACAAGCTTGAAGAAAAGTTGGCTGGTGGTGGCAAGATGGGAAATGAGGACGCTTCTGAACGAGTTGGAGACAAATCTGATTCTAGCATGTAAATAACTTGTTACCAGTTCTAATAGTAATTTCCTTTATAGTGTTAGCTTACCCCTTCAAGAGAAGGTTTGGTTAATTCAACTATGCATTTTTTGTCAGATTAGTCATAGGCAATATAGACCTTTCCACAAAAAAGAAATTAAATTGGTTATTACTGTTAAAACACTGAGCTAAGTAAGATAAAGACAGACTCTGGACACTTTTTAATCTGAAGCCGTTTTAATTATGTACATATAACACGATTGCACCACATTAATGTGGGCTGATTGGCTCTCTTCAAAGGAGCATTACACTGACCAACTTACACTTCTTCTAAAACCCAGCCAGCTCTTTGTAATAATATGTAGTGATGTGTTTGTATCCCTCAGTACTTGTAGAACATCAGGAGCTCTTGGAAAAAGAGAAGTTTGTCTGCTGAAGAATATCAGTGTTGGATTGTAAGTTTTTTCATCTATACAGAGTTTCGTACCACTGTGTAAAGTAAATTAGAACAGAATTGATATGATGATAGATTAGTCTTACACTGATTTTACAAGTAGGTGGTACAGCAGATTTATTCCTGAAGAAATAAATTTAGATGTAACAGAGGTCATGCATGAAAAGGAGTTTAGTGGTTTGAACATGGCCTTAAGTAGTTGCTGCTCTCTTCACAAAGATCAATGCGCAGTTTGGCTTACTTTGACAAGACTGTTAATCTCTGCCCTGGAATGACCTGGCATGGTGTTATAAGGCATGATGAAAAGCTCAAATAATGTTTATTAATGTATGTATGTGGGAAATTGCATAGCACATATGCCTACTGCCAGTAAATGTTGACAGTGTTACCATTATCAGCAGAGAAACTCAAAATACAAGAAGATTATTAAAAAAAAAACCAAACCCAAACAAAAAAAAACCCCAAACCTTCAGACCTCTTCTTGCTATATGTTTAAGCAGACCAAAATTATAAGAGAGATTAGCTTACCCCACAAACTGATCAGCTCTATAGAATATGTTTTAAAGTAGTTTAGAGTGTTCCCTTTGAAGTTTTAAATGATTGTTCAGGAAAACAAGAATTTGCAAACCCTAGGTATAATCAAGAGGAGCCACAGGCATTTCAAAAGAAAGACATAAAATTAATGCATTAAATGTGGCTATAAGTGTTCAACATTAGATATCCAAGTCTAAAACTCTTGGCTAAAGTGCATGTATGTAAACTTCTTGTACAGATTATATTCATTTTTTTCCCTTATTTATACTGGTTATGTTTGTAACAGTTCAGCTAGAATAAGAGTAAAACAATTATCCCACAAATGCGTAAGTGGATGACACACAAACTTCACATAACTTCAGTTTCTTGTTATGTTTTCACTGTTAATCATGTGTTTCAATTCAAAGGGAAAACTTGGAACACTGTTTGGGCGATGTTAATAATATTCAGGCTGTGAAGTATACAGATAGAATTTGCATATTAACCTTACAGAGGAATCTAAAAGAGCTCAATGACATAGCGAAAGAAAAGGAACTTGTGGTCCAAAAAGCCAGGTTAGTGTTTAAGCGAACGTAATCCATCAGCATAAATCACCATCAAATACTGGGATACTGTATCTGTTATAAATATTAGATTTTATAGAATTTTTTCATGAAAGTTACACAATGCAAGCACTTGTCTCATATAATATATTCAGTATATCCCCAAACCCTTGTAAAGGGTTAAGGATCAAGAGTAAAAATTAATTACATACTTGGAAAAAACGAAGTACAATAATGAATGTTAAAGAAGAGGTGTTTGGTGTGGGAAAATTAGATGCTAATTCCTTTCAGTGATGTCTGCATGATCCTGCTGGTTCAACAATCGGTTGGAAACATCAAGCAGAAAAGTCATTGTCAACATTTTCTTAACTGTGATGGAAATGGTACATTAGAATCTGTGAAGTTACTCACATACTTTAAGAGAAGCTCCTGCTATGAGTGTTTTGCTTATGTTAAGGTCACAAAGATGTTCTTTAGCAGCAAATACATCTGAAGAAGGCTAATGTGAAAAGATGCTGTTTATGCTGTTGTCATTTTTGATAATATCTGAACTATGGATGAAGTCACAAGAAACTCTTGTTACATTTTTCTGGATTTTTGGAGAAAATGTTTGAAATGAACCAGGGCTTCTGAAGAACCTCATATTAAGATCTTAAAAAGTGGGATGGTGGTGGGGAGTTGGGAGAGTTGAAGGAATCCTAGCTGTGAATCTTACCCCCAAAAGGAAGAGTTTCATTGGAAAGAGTAAAGAACTTACAAAATATGAATAATCCGATTGTTTCTTGCAGAGAAAAGCTGAGTACCTGTCAACTACGGATCGAGATGCTAGCAAAGCAGCTGGATTCTGTAGACATTGAAATAGAGAAAGAGAAGGAGGCTGGCAATGTGTAGGTAGAGAGTATTTCTGGATACCAAAGATTACAGGCATCCATGATGTTTATCTGCGTGTAATTAATGAGAAAAACTTTCCTGCATTCATCTCTTCATATTATTGAACTGTTGATAGGATTTTTAAGCACATATATTAAAGATGTTAATAGATCAGTGATGAAACCCATTGCCATTCTCGGGTTGAGATGTAACTGCATTAGCTTGGAAGGCTCTTCTGATAAAAGGCTATTGCAGTTCCAGCCAGCGAGCAGAGCAATGCGTTCGCTCCCATGTTGGTGAACACTAATATTGTAGTCACTTTCCGGTTGATCTATTTTCAGCATTAATTCCTCCTTTTGAAATAAAGAATAATGGTGCATTGGCTTGGGATCTAGGCTTTCTGGTCTAGAGGTAATATTCTGTTAGGTTAATCAGTGCAGAAAAGTGGAGGAATGGATAGGAAAGAGGCGTGTATTTTAAAATGTAGCAACAACAGGTTATTAAATCAGCCTAGCCCACTACTGTCAATTATGTTTACCAGGGTCTCAATCATTTCTATTCAGGATGATGAACCAACACCAATGTGTTACGGCAGTTTTAGAGGTCATGGTTTTGCTTCTGGTAACTATTACAATCAGGATTTATGTATATATATACCCTTTCTTTTTTTTGTTTGTTTTATGTTGTGAAATGCATGAATACCTTTCAGGAGTAGTTCTGCATACAGGAGCTGTTCTGAAATGCTTTTGCTATAAAGTGGGAGGCAATTTACTGTACTCTTCACATGTGGTTTAAATAGAAAGAAGTGGGTGGCTTGTGTACCAGGAACCAGTGTATTGTGAACAAACTTTGCAGCTGCATTTTATGACCTGTGTTAATCTTCAAGTTAGTATATCGATAAATGATAGAATGTTAAAGGTAGGTTAATTGCCAAAATGGAATAGCTACTTAAATGAAAATGAGTAGAATGCTAGCGAGACTCCTGCGATGGGTGCTAGTGCTCCCTGTTCAGGATCTCAAAGAGACAGTCTTAGTAACAAAAACCAACAAAGAAAAGCATTGTAGAAGTTTTTATGCTTATGACAGGCCAAATTTTGAGGTCTAGATATGCAGAAAAACAGCAATTCTCACAACCTATTATATTTAGCAAGTGAATAGTGGAGTACGAAGACATGATAAATTTCTGGCCTATGAAGATCAAAGGCATCATGTTTTAGCAATAATGCAAATACTGGCTACCATTAACATTACTGATGCCCAATGCAAACATTTTGAAGTTAGAGTAGTAACTACAGGTAGAAGATCCATTTCCAATTTTCACTTTGAGGAACGGAGTTATATTGAAGACAGTCAGTTCACCGTCTGTTGATTCTGTAATATACTGTCTATTAGTTTTCCTGGGTAGAGAAGACAAGGAAAATAAACTACTGTGTGGCAATGCTGCCATTGTAGGG